GGTATGGTCCGTGGCTCCACCTGGGGTACAAACCCAGGACCTTCTGCATGTAAAGCAGATGTGCTAACCGCTACACTATAGAGCCACCCCCTCTATCCCATATGTGCTGCAAATATTGATCCTTTCTTGGCTTGACTTTCATATCTTTAATTTTAATTTATAAAATGAAAATGGGTACATTTTTATGGATACTTCTTTTTACCATCAGTTAGTAAATCTTTCTCTAAGCTGAGGTTGATAAAGCTATTTTCCTATAAAAAATAAATCTTTGTAGTTTTGTATTTCACATTTAGGTCTTTAATCTACTTGAAATTGATTGTTTTTCCCCCTCTTTAATTCCTCCCCCAACTTCCACCCCTGACCTATGGATGTTGCCATCTCCCCTTAAGAGCTGGATCTCTGAAGGTGGGGCGTCTCCTCCCACGTGCTCGTGGTGCGCACCGGGGCCTGGTGCCCCTGGGGTATGGTCCGTGGCTCCACCTGGGGTACAAACCCAGGACCTTCTGCGTGTAAGGCAGATGTGCTAACCACTACACTATGGAGCCACCCCCTATAGTAACACTTTAGATGTATCAGCATTTTTCTTTAAAAAAACAAAAAACAAAAAACAAAAAACAAGCTTTGGCAAACACGATGGTAGAAGACATGAGGTGGGTAGAAGCACGGAGTGGCCAGGGCACTGACCCCCGTCCTTCTCCACCTCTGCCCCAGGCATTTAGAGGCCCACAGCGGGCGACTTCACCCAGCTGTGCCACTCTGGTCAGTAGGCTTTCCAGGCAGGATATGCCTGCTCCACCCCGTCTCTCACCCCAGCCTCACAGATTTGCCTGAGTGAGCCCGGGGCTCTCCTTGGGCCCAGTGAGATGCCGGGATCGGCCATTCTCTCGGCTTTCAGGACAGGTGAGCACCCTGATGAAGGCCACGGTCCTGATGCAGCAGCCCAGAGGTCGTGGGCATCCTCCACAGGGGCGGGGGGGACTGCTCACAGGTCATTTCTGATTTTGACATGACCTTGAGCAGGTTTGCTTATAATGGAAAGTGATGCCCTTCTTCCTACAATATTCTGGATAACAGCAAGATCATCAGTGAGGAGTGCCAGAAAGAGCTGAAAGCGCTCTTTCACCACTGTTACCCAGTTTAGATTGATCCACATGGGACTATCAAAGAGAAGTTACCTCATATGGTAGAACAGTGGACCAAAGCGCGCGATCTCCCTTGTCAGCAGATATTCAGAAGTTTTGAACAGCCCAGGTGCTTAGAGAGTCCAGCACAATGCTTAGGGAGGGTTACAAGATGTTCTAAAACACCCTCTACCAAAACAACAGTCCCTTTTTCATCTTTTCCACAACCATTGGTGATAACCTGGAAGAAATGATCCCACGATGAAAGTGTTGCACCCCAGCATCCACATTGTGTCTAACTACATGAATTTGGACGAAGATGGTTTCCTGCAGGCATTCAAGGGCCAGCTGGTATACAGAACAAGAACAGCTCCATGTGGGAGAACTCCAGTTACTTCCAGCAGCTTCAGGGCAAAACCAACATCCTCCGGCTGGGAGACTCCATAGGGGACCTCAGAATGGCTGATGGGATGGCGTTCCAGGTGTGGAGAACATTCTCAAGATTGGCCTCCTAAATGACAAGGTAGAGGAGCAGTAGGAGCACTACCTGGAGTCCTATGATATTGTGCTGGAGAAGGAGGAGACACTGGACGTGGCCAATAGGCTGCTATAGCACATCCTGCACCAGGGGGACTAGGTGGAGATGCATGGCCCCGAGCATGCGGGTGTGGGACCAGTCCCTAAAGGCCGTGACAAGGAGGGGAGCCTCACTGGGAAGCTGTTCTTCCTGCAAGCCAGCCCTTTCTGGTGTGTGCAGAGGCAAGTCCAGGGCATCCATGAGCTGCTGGGTCTTCGCCTCTCCCTCCTCCTTTCCATGGTGCCTTTTGTTTGTGTTTTCCAAGGCATGAGGGAGGCCCTGCCAGGTGGGAGGCCCCAAAAGCCATTCCAAATAATCTGTGGACCTGTAGGGTGTTTATACTACAGGGATCATTTGAGCCGGGATTCTTTTTTTTTTTTTTCCCCCAAAATTTTAAACATGGGAAGCTTTTCTTCAAACAAATTGAATGTATAAAACAGATTGAAATATAAAAAAGGAAAAACCAGAGCTGTTCTGACTTAGGGAGGTGGGAGGGCAGAGCCTGTACCCCTTGGTCCTGTAGGTGCCAGAACCTCTAAGAAGCCACTAAGGCTCCATGGAACACAGTTTGAAAACCACCGAATTAGCTCAGAAGATCCTCTGAGTACAGCCTAACCGAGTCTGTGGGGATCCAAGTGGGCAGTCAGAGTTGGAAGGATGTGTTTCTGACCTGGAATGATTTGGCTTTATTCTGATGCAGCTGTTAAACTTGAAATTCAGTTGGGTCTGGGCAACTCTGTCTGCAGAACCCCTTCTTTAGGGGTGTCCAAAGGGATTTATTTGGGTGTGGATTTTCCCTGGTACCCTTGGCTCCTGTCCTTCCTTGTCCTCCTCTTGTGGGTCCAGGGCCACTAAAATGGATGATTTAAGGGGGTTGAGGCTGGGAACCTGAAGGTAGAAGGCACCCCGTGGCAAAGTATAAAGAAGTGGTTTATGGAAAAATAAAAAGTTATGCATTTAAATTATTTCTGGTTTTCTAATTACAAAACAAAATTTCCCTTGGTCTCAGTTTAATTTAGTTCTTATAAGATGCTGGATGATTAGTCATTAACCAAAAACTGAATAGATGATTGTCAGTTACCAAAGCCATGCTGTACATGGTTATTAGAACCAACTAGTTTTTCTTGATGCTCCACACTCACCCTTTTGAGTGTCCCTATCAGAAATGCAGTAAATCAGAACTTCATGAATATTCAATAAGAGAGTTTTTTAAATTTATGAATCTCTACACATTCCAGGATGAAGTTTCTGATTCTCCTTTGTTATATTCCTATTGTACATAAGACTTTTCCCAGAGAGCTGTAAAAATTATTGTCCTGAGATCCAGGGTTTCTCATTCATGACGTTTCATTTTAGTCTTTGGAGGTGTAACTGCCTCTCTGAACATTCCAGTAGGCTTGCTGGAAGGGTTATTCCTCTCCTTCAAGGCTTTTAAAGTTTTAAAATCTTAGGATGTATAGACTTGGTTGAAAATAGACTAGAATATGAGCCCTGGCTGATGGTTTTGAAATCTCCACTATAATCATATTATCTATTTCTTCTGCCAGACAGTGTATATATGGCATTGTGAGAAAAAATTATTGAATAAAAGAAAAAAAAAGAGAGAAAAGGAAAAACCAACTCTGGTAGCAGTAATTGCAATAATTAAATGAAAACTGTATGTTTAAATTGCAGTTGGAATAGGAAATTAAATTATGCAAAAAAGTGTTATAGATTTGGACATTTTCATACTGTTAATAAATCTATTCATAATTCATTTTCTTGTAGGCTATGATAAAATAGCATAAATAGCTTCATTTGTAAGGCTGTGGATTTTCCTATTCTTAATTGGGTGATGGCTAAAACTATTTAAATGCTTCTGGATGACTGAATATATAAATGTTTAAAATGATCAGTTATAATAGTTTTCTAGGCATATTTGTTTATTTAATATTATTACATTTATTTTCAAATACTAGCATAGTGCAGATTTTGCATAAAGATTGCACCCAATATGGTGTGAGTTTGATAGGATTTTTAAGAAAAAGATATTACCTCTTAGCTTTTGAAGAAAGCACTCTGATACTCATTGAACAAATATTACATGCCAGGCACTGTACTAGTTACTTTATAAATGTTACCATTTTATCTTCATGATAGACCTAAAAGCAGGAACATTAACCCCGTTCAACTAATGAGGAAACAAGCTCAAAGAAAGTAGGAGTTAGTCCAAGGTTGCATAGATGGCTAGTGGCAGAGCAGTGGCTCTGAGCCAGGTATTTTGGGTCTCTAAAACTTGCATTCTTTCCATTATCTATAGCCTGACACCTTGTACACTCAGGTAAGTTTAGCACCTGAGCATCTAAGAGCCAGGGCTGTCTTGTCTGGAGGTAATTTCTTGCTGTAGCATTGGCCAAGTAATGGCTGAATATCAGCTCCTCTGTTCCTTGAGCACTTAGAGTAGCCCCTACTGTAGTGGCTATTATGTTGCTCCCCAAGAGCTGTATTTGGGCCAATGACAGGAGCTACTGAAACTCAACCAAAAAAAAAAGGAGCCCACAGATGTAAGGTCTTTATTCCAAGAAGCACGTGGGGGACCAGAAGCAACCACCAAAGGTGGCTGCCTTGCAGGAATGGGAGCATGTGGTCTTGAGCTGCTTGGGTCTGTGTTGCTCTGGATTTGTGATTCATAGGGACGAGACCATGGCATTCACCAAAAGATGAATAAATATTGGAGGATTTCTACAAGCACATTATGTCTGCTCGAATGATGATACCTGTAGATTCATAGCAACAACTAATTAAGAGGTATTTCTAGATTAACTTATCAGACTGAGGGCTGTCACTATTCCACATTCAATAGATAGCTGCTTATTCTTCAGAAAGGAGTGCGGGGAGGGGGTGGTTAAGGCAGAGGACCCTCTCTGCTCCTTGCTGGCTGCGTGACCTTGGGCAAGGCTTAACCTTTAAGCCTCTTTTCCTCCTCTATAAAATTGGGTTTTAACAGTACCTGTCTCACAGAGGTATGACGATTGAGTGAAATAATTTTATAGAATACCCAGTACATATTAAGTACTCAATGATTGTTAGTGCTCGACAACTGTTATTTTTCTTTTTCTTCTTTTAGACTCTTCCTCTGCTGCTAGTAGGAAAGGTTAATTGCAGATATTAAAATGGACAGTAGCAGAATCAACACAATACATTCATCTCTTGTTCCTGTCCTGTTTATCACTATTTAATCCCTAGTTAATGACTTGTATTGGACTAGGAACCACTTTGGGTTCATTAGCCAATAGTAAAGTTTTTAACCTTTTGCCACTTAGGGAAATGATCGCCAATCTAAGTCAACTGTCGGATCCAGTGACAACTCATCTCCTCAACCCCCAAAGAGGAAAGGGAAAAAAGAGGATGTGAATTTGGAAAAATCCATGAAAGGGAAACAAAATATTAACTTAAAGAACTCACCACAAACAATTCCAAACAGTGGTAAGTTTGTTGTTATTGCTGTATCGTTATTATTGATTATTATTGCCTTAAGGCTGTGATACAATTTTAACTCTTAAATAGATCAGTTTTTTTCTCGGCACCCACAGAAGATACTCCTTATCATCATATCTGACAGTTTTCACAGGAGAAAACTGTGTATGAGAAGTGCTACTGTTTTTCATGATTAATTTCTATTTATAATTAGAGATTATACTATAAGGACACATGTTTTGAGGTAAAATATTTCTCAGGGTGTTTTTTTTTACCACCCTGGGTAAATTTTACCACCCTGTGCTTAACATGTTTACTAACTACTGCTGACACTGGTGTCTCTTATTTGTGTGTCTACAAGCCTTGTCCACATTCATATGAATTACTATTAGTCACAAAAGGATGTTTTCCTAATTTTGCTGACATCCACAAGAATACTAAACACACAAAAAACTTTATCAGTAAACGATAAGTACCAAAATTAGTTACGTATCTTGCATTACCAAGTGAGAGCTAGTATAAAATAATTTTTAAACATTTTGTATTAGTACAAGATTTCAGGATAAAAATGTAATGAACTAAGCACACATTAGTTTCTTAATGAAGACAGGCTCTTTGGGGTTTCATTCCAAGCATGGTCTCAGAGGGGCAAGCACACGAGAGTGGATCAATGCTGCAGGCGTGGAGGGCTGGCTGGGACACAGCCCACTGGAGTGACTGCTTCTTCACCCTGGGACCCACTCTCATACCCTGCAGAGGGACATACTGGGGTGCCCAGGAAGAGAGTAAGTGGGATAAGGTTTCAGATTCATAACCAGAGCTCTATCTCCTATCTGGAAGCTCCAGGTCATTTCAGAGTCTACGTGAAGAGTCACATTAGAATTATAGCTAATATGGAGTTCACGATTGCAGAGATAGCATGAACTTATGTGGGGGTTTAGAGGACACTACACAGGTGATTAAAGAGTCCAAAAGAATGATGTGTTGAGACCAAGTTAAAAGAAGAGACTGAATGAATGAGTTAATTGCATAGAGAAGAAAGAGTGGAAGAGGATTTAAATCTTCAATGATCTAAATGATGGAGATTAGCTGGAAGTTGAGAGTCCTAGATTCTTGTGCTAGTTCTGCTCTTGACCTTGGGCAAGTCACTTAACTTTTTTGGGCCGCATTTGCCATCTACAAAATGTGGGTTTATACTAAGATTTACCTTTAAAGGTGAAATGCAGTCAACAAATGTTTATTGAATGCTTATTGTATGGCAGACACCAAAGGGAAAAAAAGCTAGTCTGGAACAACATGCCATACCTTGAACATTAAAAATATTTATTTTAATCAATATATACTAGATTGTGAAGCCCTCTGAGGCTATGGGCCATGTCTTACTAGTTATTTTTTGCTTTTAATCCCCCAAAACTGATACAGTTCTGATACATATGAGATACTTAATAAATATTGAGGAATGAATGAAGGAAGTTACAAAATAGATAAGTCTCTGTAATACTTTAAAACCCACAAAGAAACAGTACTCATTTTAAACCTTTCTGAATCGATTAATAGATTTTTATAAAATGTTACTTGCTTATTTTCTGCCAGGCTCTCATTAGCTTACGAAAATCTCAACTCCTACTTTCCATATATATTTTTAAAGTTTTTAGACTTTAGTTGTCCCTCAATAGAAAGGGAAACCATCCTCTTGTCAGGCATCTTATTTGTAGAAACTTGGGAACATGAGGCTGTATCAACATTTCCCTCTTTCACAGGAAAATAGGCTTTATTAAAAAGTTGAATTATCAGTACTTTTGCTTTTGTGGCAAATAGTTTGCAGCAAAAATTGTATCTGTGAGGATAAAAATAAAAATATGTTGAACACTGAAGCAAGTCATATTTTAAAAGTGCTAAGAAAGGTTAGAATCCCTCAGCTATTCTTTCCTTGTCTTTAAAGAATCCTGCAGTTGTTTTCGATAATTGCCCATTTTAAATGTATATTTTCCAATGTAGTTTTATAATGTACAGATTATGGGGTTTTAACTGCTGGATCTCATCGTTATATAGAACAACCACTGGTGTTTTTCAAATAAAAGTTTTGGGGACTGAATTTTTTTCCCAGTAAGAGGCTTATACCCCACTGATCTGGAAACATATATATGCGTTTAGATGATTCATTTTGTATCTTTTCATCTTGATTAAAAAGAACATATTACCTGGAAAATGAATCTTGGCTTCCAAAAATAATTTTTCCAGGGAAAATAAAAAAATTTTTTGTACAGTTCATTAGATTAAATCATCACTTGATAAACTTAAGGATATTAGCTTACATCGATAATTTTGAAAACTGAGCTATTTCTCTTTATCAGATCTCCCTCCAGATGTCTTTAGCTATAGAAATGTTCCAGGTTATAACATCAAAAGTATCTCTCTCTCTTTCTCATTTTTTTTACTCCGTAATTCAGCCTTCATATTCATTTATTATCGCTCTTGCTTTCTGCATTAATGTCATCTATTTTAGTAATTAGAACCAAGTGTGTGCTTTCGGATAGAGGCTGCTTATTCTTTAGAAAGGTAAAAGCGATCACGACTTGAAGCAAAGTGAAAGGGAAGGTGTGTGGTGGTTGAGTCAAGATGACGAGTAAAAAAAACGCAAGAATTTAATACTGTATTTCACATTCGAAAACTGCTAAGAGAATAGATCTTAAAAGTTTTCATCACAAGAAAAAAATGTTTATAACTATGTATGGGGACAGATGTTAACTAGACTTATTGTGGGGATCATTTCACAATGTATACAAATATCAAACAAATTTTAGAGATGATTTTAGAGATGAAACATAGTTTGTTCTACTTAAAAATATTTTAAATTTGGAATTGAGCAACCTCTTCAGTTTTACTCCAAAGTGTTAAATTTTAAAGTAGGGTGAATATCTCTGATTATTTCATCATATGTTAAACTGTACAAATTTTTGGCACAGTGTGTTTTTACATATGTACTGTTCTCATGTTGATTAGGAAAAAAGAGATTTGTACGCTTTCTTAATTTTTTTATAATTAAGATTATAGTCATAAAATTTGCCCCTTTCTACTGCCGATGTTTACTGTTATCCTGGTATCTAATGCTGTATGAATGAGCAGTGCTGATATCAGTCTGTAGATGGCAACCTGGGTCTAATTTTATATCTTTTGCTTTTTTTCTTTTTTTTTCCTCCCCTGACTGTTTCTCTCTGTAATATTAAAGCTTAATAATTCAAGCAGAGCAGTGACATATTTCTTCAGGGAGACAAATCCCATTTTCTTTTGGTAGCCAAGATGCAAAGTAAGATTGGTTGGTGATTGATGAAGTTAAGTGTGAAATGCATTTTTAGTGCTGCATTTAAATACCAGCTTAACTGGCCAGCGTGTGTTTTCGGTACACTTTCCACTTGAGTTGCGGTGCCTTGGGATATGTTTTAGAGGGTGTTAACTAGCTACACTCTCCACTATGAGCAAAGAAGTAATGATAATTGCTTTGAGATAGTATTTTGGGATTGGTTATATTTATTGATATTTTAAATATTTTTATATGAAAAAAATTCAGTGTTTTTAGTACCCCTGGAACACAGGAAGTATAGTGAATTTAGGGCTTCTTAGAAATATTGGAAAGGCTGCAGAGAAAATAGTCTGGTCTGTGTTACTACGCTTTATGTGGTATTGATAATTCTAAATACTTTTTAAAAGTGAGTATTCAAAGGTGGGCAGAACCAAGTCTTGCTTCCTTTGCATGATGTGGTTCTCCACACGTGTGGGTGTGCGTGTGTGCACAGGCACACACACATGGACTAACAGCCTTGATGTAGTTCCTGGCTCACTTCCAGCATCGTTCTGTGATAGCTCCTAAGGAACTTCTGTTGTTTAGACTCCTGATGAATGATAGTGAGCAGGTGCGGCGCCTGGAAACGATGTTGGAATATTATGACCTTGCTGGGTGACTGCCCTTGAGCAGTCACGCGCTTGAATTTTCTAATAGCTACAACCTGCACATGGCTTGCTGCGTCGCCCCAAGCATGAAGCATTACTGCAATCCATCCTCAAAGTCAGATCGCGGGGTCTTGAAACTTGAGCTTCTTTGGTTCAGCTAGTGAACCAGCTTAGGCACTTGTGTGGTTCCCATCACAAGGCACTGACTCTGAAGATGAAATAGGAAGAACACATTTTCCAAATGTGCTCTCCCAAGTCTCACTCTCTAAGGGGTATTATGTACTGGAGGAAAGTATATGAGAAGGCACTAAGGAGACTTTACAAAACAGGGCCCTGGTTTTCTTTAATTAGCAGAAGTAAGATTTATGATGTGTCTGGTGTCTATTGCCACCACACTCACCCTAGGACAGAGAAATATAGGTCTTCAAGTCCTTTGTTGATTGTAACTTCCCATCTCAATGGCAGTGCATACTGTGGGATATGGGTCAAATTTAATATTAGTATGTTAAAAATTTATAAAATAAGCATTTTTTTTCATGCCTCATGATCCTGTTACAGTCACATATTGTACAACGAAATTCTAGTACTGCAAGGAGTTTTAGTCATTTCTTGAAATTTTATTGTGGGGTTCAAATTCTATCAATAGAAATTAGTACAGTTTGCTGTTCAGTTTCGTGCTGAAAGATTGAAACATTAGAATCCTAGTAAGATCTTTATCTCGGTTTGAGAGGAGTACAATACAAGCCCTTTTTCAGAAAATATTCTTTTCATATTCTGCTCTCTTATACACTTTGTACACTGGATGGAGAAGCTCTATGAGAAAAGCTTTTTTTTTTTGTTTTATCACTGATACAGGATTGAGGTCTCAGCAATAAACTTCTTTCAGGGGCTACTTTTTATGTAGTCTAGGGATGGTGTGTGAAGATACTTTTTGTTTGCAAAAGGAGAAGTTTGTGAGCTGTTAAAATTACATAGGCATTTCCAAACCTTTGGAAGATTTTATTTCAGAAAGTTATTTTAAGTAGGTGTTTTGGTACTCACTTGACATTTTCTGTACGAGT